TCTCCAGTTGCCAGTGGTAGGGCTGGGACCTCGCCTGCCCTGCTGACCTCTAGGCAAGGCATCCGGGTCCAGTGCCTGCCACTGACCTTGCCTTTTAGCAGTGCTGGAACCTGGAGGTGGGGCAAGATTCCCCACCCCCACCTCACAGTGTTGTCACTGGTCCCAAGGGTTTGGGGTGAGTAAGGGGACAGTTCAGGGAGGTTTGAATTCCTTGACCTTTTAGGAGGCGTGTGTGAACTCGGGCATTGAGCCTGGTTCTGACATGGGGTGGTGGTGATGGCTCTGAGGGCAGAGTGGGGTGGGGATAAGACTTGGGTCCTGGCCCTAACTGGTTTGGCTCAGTGGATAGAGCGTCGGCCTGCAGACTGAAAAGTCCCAGGTTCAATTCCGGTCGAGGGCATGTGCCTTGGTTACGGGCACATCCCCAGTAGGAGGTGTGCAGGAGGCAGCTGATCGATGTTTCTCATCGATGTTTCTCTCTCATCAATGTTTCTATCTCTCTCCCTTCCTCTCTGTAAAAAATCAATAAAATATATTTTTTTAAAAAAAGACTTGGGTCCTGGGCAGCAGGTAACTAGTCAGAGACACAGAAGCTGGGCTCTGGTGGGAACACAGTGAGTAGAACTGGAGCCTGGGGACAGTGCTTAGGGATGAGGGGGACACACACACACACACACACATACACACCCCCGCTGACCCCAGCATACTGTACCGTAGGGGCTGGCAGTCACAGGCCCATCAACTGGAGCCATCCCCTCTTGCCCCCTGACAGCATTCACAGCATTCAGTCCCTGGACCACCGTGCTGGATGTCACCCAGCACATGGCACTGTGACAACCAGAAAAGAGAAATGCTGACCGTGTCTCACCGTCTGTTTGAGTAAATTTACTCTACGTTTTTCCAAGGAGCCGTCGCATGGGTGGGAATTTACTCCCCTGAATGGAATCATTACAATTTTTGAGTGAACATGTGTCAACATCTCCGTCAAGGGGAGGTTCCAGGATTCTCTGCCGGCTGAAGTCATTACCACAAGACACTGGTTGGGCGGGCAGATAGGGTGGTACAAACTGGCTGGCCTGATGGGAGGTGGGGATGTGAGCTGGGGGGATGTCTGAGCAGGTGAAGAGGAGGGAGGGGGTATTTGGGAGGCTGCAAGGTGACAATATACATGAACCCCCACACATCGAAAAACAAGGTGAGCGGAGAACACATGCGGGGCGGGCAAGGACAGAGAACGGGGCACTGGCCGCTCGGACTAGAAAGACAGGCTGGGGCCAGACTGAGGGGCCTGAATGCCAGCTCCCGACAGTAACTAGCTGTGTGACCTTGGGCAGCTGTCCAACCTTTCTGTGCTTCCGCCTCATTTTAGTACAATGTAGCTGTGGACACCAACAGTTTTTATGGCTCTTTGGAGGGTTAATCAAGATAATGCATGTAAAATACTTAGCACTGAGCCTTACACATGGCCGGTGCCAGGACACATTTGTTGTTTGTTGGTGATGATGAAACCACACAAGCATAGATGTGCTCATATAAATTAGTGGCTCAGCTGCTTTGAAACTGTTACCCAGAGTTGGCCCTCAATCTACCACCACATTTGCTTCTCATCCTCCGCTGAGGAGAGCCATGGTCTCTTTAGAAGCCCTTGTCCACGAACAGCCAGGCTCTGGGGCTGACCGTCGTCTGCAGGGCATCCCTGTCTGGTCCTGTGTCTTCTTCTGTCCCGCTGATGACTCCTCCTCCCGCTCAGGCAGTTCTTAGGCCCCCCAGAGAGGGCCTGTCCTCCCACAGCCTCTAGACAGGAGAGCCATGGTCACAGGAAAGGTCCCTCCCAGACATGAGCCTCTCTCTCCCCAAGGGGATGCCTGGCCCTGCCTGGAAGTGTTCCTTGACAGTCTTGGGGCTGGCTCTCTCGCACCCCAGGAAATGCAAAGCTTTCTGAAGGAGGAGGGGTCCAGAGAGCCTTGCCCTGTTGGTGAGACACCCTCAGATCTGAAATGATGCGACATCTGGGCTCTGTGCTTTGGGGAGAAGATTGGCCTGCAGGGTGTATATGTCCATCGCACAATTACTGAGTCCCAGGACCTGAAGAAACAGAGATGAATAGACCCCCAGCAGCACCCAGGAGAGGGGGAGGCAGGCCAGGGATTCAGGAAGAGGGAGAGAGCTTGCACACTCCTGTTCCTGGAGACCTTGAGAAAGGCCCCCCCCTTAGGTGGAGGCAGTTGAGCTGGATCTTGGAAGGTGAATGAGAATTAGAAATAGGAGGTGTAGCCTGAGAAAGGACAGGGCATGCATGGGGAAAATAGAAAAGGAGGCCCTGGTGGCTGGATGGAATGGGTGTAAAGGTGAGGAGTGTGTGGTGGGTGGGGCCTAAATTACGGAGGCTGGCTCACTGGAGGTGCTGGAACCTGAAATTCCCCAGCTACACATGGTCAAGGATGGTCAGGTATACTCACTCTGCTTCTGCATATTGTTCGAGATGACTGTGGGAGGAGCTTGCAGGAGGTTATGCAGTCCTCTGAGCTGAGGCTAAGAAGGGGATGGAGGAAGTAACTTATTCATGGCCAAATAGCCAGTAAGTGTGAGAGCCTAAGTTAGGATGTACATCTTTTGACCCCCAGATACAGGCTTATTTCTTTTTAGCTTGTGACACTGCCCCCCCTCCTGTGACAGCTGTTGTACAGAGTGAGAGACCCTGTCAAAGGAGCCCATTTTGTTATAGATATTAGAACTGTGTGGACCAACCAGCAGGGGAGATCTGGGAAGGCTTCCAGGAGGAAGGATATTAGACTTGGGGAGGGCGGTAAGAGGGGATGAGTAATAGGTACAAATGGTTGTCTGTGGTGAGGCACTTCTTTCAAATGAAGCTGCATCAACTTGTGCAAGTAACTGAACTCTGGACTTGACTTCTTTGTCTATAAAGTGGTCACAGCATCAGCCTTGCCTCTTCGTTGCCACAATTGAACTCAAGTGGGAGGAGGTGCTCGGAGGTGCTCTGCTCCCTCCTGCATCATTGCCTTGGCTGCTCTGGGAGCCAGAGGGGCTTCTCCTGAAATTTTATTAAGACATTGGATAGGCCCGGATGAAAACAGAGGGGGAAACACCACCTCAGAGGGAAGAGAACCACTAAGTGCACTGCTTGGCTTAGAGCCCCCTGGAATGGGGGAGGGGTGGGGAGGACTTGGGTATTGTTGGATCACCTGTGGTCAGAATCGCCTGTGCCCAGAACAGGGCACAACAGGGGGTGGAATGAGTTTGACTTCCCAGGTTGGGGGTTGCTTTGGATCACAGTCAGACCTGTTCACCAGCCCTGCAGGTGCCCCAGCCAGAGTCCTGCACCAAGTAGGTGCCTGTTGGTCTGGCACTTAGTAGGGGTTCAGTTGTTTGCTGAGGGACTGGAGCAGGGGACTTAAACTGGGGCTTGTGATGCCTCTGGATACAGAAGCCATGGAGTAGGCAGGACCCCAGGCAAGGCTCTGTCCCCCAGGGCCCCTCTTTACCCATATTCACATGGAGGGATTAGAATCCCTTACTCCACTGCATCAAGGAGTTGTGCAGCAGCCCCTTCGGTGGAGGCCACTGGGTGGGGGGGCCTCAGTTGAATTGGTCCCACTGGGTGGTGGCTGTCAGGGACGCAGAGTGGTTCCTGCCTCTGGTAGAGGTTCAAGGCATTGCTTTGGCTTCTCTATTGGACAGAAAAGGGGGTGACTCCAGGCAGAAATGTTGTGTTACCTGGACTTGCCCTTCCCTAGGGATTTGTGTTTCACTGAGGATCAGGTGCACGTGACCCCAGGATGAAGGATCAGGCCAGCGATGGGACCGCCTTTGTGGCGTTCACAAACCTGGGCAGCTCTCCCAGCTCACCTGCCTGTGTACTCCGTCCCTCCCGAGATTAACCCTCCCCCTCTCTGCTCTGGCTCATCCAGGGGACCAGGCCCAGAGGAAACTTGAACCCTGGACTACTGCAGGGAATTCAGTTCCTCCCAGCTGGGTGCCTGCTGTTGTTGACTCCCTTAGTCAGGCGGGAGGGCGGGAGTCAGGAGCCCAGCTTCCCCGGGCCCTCCAGTCTGGTGACCTTGGTAGGCAAATCGCTGGCCTTGTCTGCACCTCCGTCTTTGTTTGAATTTTTTAAATGTTTGAATG